TGCTTCTTCTCATTTTGATTTCATCATAAAAAAAATTTCTTGATATTAATTTCTTTTTTCATTCTCACGAGTCTGATTTCGAATAACACTGTAACAAGTGTTTCGTGACAACAAAGCAATCTTCTTTAGAATTTTTTTGTGCGGTCCTATAATCAAAATTGTCGGTCGGCTGTACATGCTTCCAATTTAACAGTTTATTGAATGACAGGAAATGATTCATTGGAGACCGGTCTAATCTAAAATTATTTTTTAACATGTAACTTATAAATATACGCCAGATGATAATTTGTCTCATATAGGAATCATGAATAATATTTTTCGATAAAAACAATAAGGAATCGTGTGTGTAATTTTGCTTTTAACATGAGGTTGTATAGCCGTGGGATGTACAATTATAATTTGTTTCTGTTTGATGTTTGCTAGCCATCTAGGCAAGTTTTACGAAAACCAGCAGTCATTTGTCAGAAACTAGAGATACATATTGAATAGAAGTTTCCGTCTTGTTCCTGGTCTTTGTGTACCTGTTACTACCTTTACTTTTTTCTCTTTAAATTTATTATCTCAGCAAGCTTTTCCACAAGAAGCAAGTGCTGTATGTCTAACAACTGATTGATTATCAATACTCACTATAAGAAACGTAACGTTTCTTTGCAAATAGAGAACAAATGTACGTGAAAACAGGAATGGAAATACGTCTGGCGTTAACTTTCACAGGACTCTACGTAGCTCGGCGCGCTGCAATAGATACTGCCGTGATGAAACACCTAAAGCATGACCCTAATCTTTATGGAGTATCTACTCTTTGCCCAAAAATATGAAACCGCGATTATTGCTTCTCTATTCTTCTATAACAAGGACGGATCTCCAGAACCAGAACATAGATTTCGTCCAAAATATTTCTTGATCTCCCAACTCATGCTTTAATAGCATTTCGTCCAGTGGGCCTTAGTTCGAGAAAAATTGGCCAATTGAGAGCGTCATAGTGATTTAATTATGTTCAAAGCGACTCATGACTTTGCGTATCTCCTTTATTTCAATAAGTTATGGGTTCGATTGGTGCTGTATATTGTTCTTTATGCAATTTTTTTATCGTTTGTGTTTTGTTAAGTTCTTGATAAAGTGCCGAATTTACTGAGTTAGATGTATGAAACTGATGCATGAGTACTACATTATGACGTAAAAATGACGGTGTAAATTTTTTTTATATGGGATGGGGGGTCATGTGAGACCTCATTTTGAAATTTCTTATTTCGTAACGAAAGAGTTTACGTATATGGGTATATCTGGATGTGTTTATATACTTTTTTATGCGAAGCTTTGGAAACCACTCTTTGTTTCAGCATCAAACGGCGCCGTATACGGTCAGAGTGGTGGAAAGCAAGCAGACTCAGTTCAGAGTGCAACTATTGTACCTCTTTTCTCAGAGGTTTCGCTTACAACCTCAATAAATACAGTTGTATTACTCTAATGTAGACGTATTGAATCTGACTCGTCAATAATAACCATGATTCAATATAATGTATCTATTTTGTCACAGCATTAGCATTTCAGGCTGCATAGATCAATCGTAAATCGTTATAGCCTGTATATTCGATGGATATAACTCAGTGTATACCGCTTTCATGGCACCTTCGATTCTATCAGGGGATGTATTATAAAAAAGTTTTTACGGTGTTTCCAGTTTTTACACATGCAACACTTGACACGCGAATGAATCAGTTCGATTTTGGTCAGGGGCGTCCCCAGCAAAACTTACAGCGATTGAAAGCATCACAGTGCCAGATATGATCGTCATGCTTTTGTCATTGAAACTGCACCAATAAGGAGACATGAACAGAAGTTAAAAATTACTCGAAACGGAATGTACTTTAATCCGCGGAATCAGCATCAGTGACGTCACTCCTGTTCATGACAATTTTTTTAGTTATGGTCAACTGTCATGGCGGTTGATTGCTCTAAATACCTCAATTTAGATAGTCTACTTGTACCTCCACTAACTTTTTTCCTGACTAGAACCGCTGATTAACACATTGAACGCCAACGACTTTTTTTTTGTGAAACATCTAAAAATGTTTTCAAGTTTCATTCAACAGAATTTGTAGGGATATAAATATTTTACTTATTTCGACGTATTCCTTGTCAGGCAAATCTAATATAATTCAACGCAGGTAGGTACTGTGAGTCACCAGCGCATGTCAAAGCGGTCAGCGTATTAGCGTGTTCTACCAAAGATAGTCAACAACATGATGTATTCCGACGTCCAAAAAGGGACCTGAAAGAAACGAGAGCTATATATGAAAGAGTAGTAGGACACATAAATCTGCTTTAAAAAAGTTAGTGTTTGGTTCTGCTACAACCTCATAGATGGCTTTAGGACTTCCAAATCCTTATTGGTGCCACTCGAATGCCTATTTTAGCTATTGGTTAACGTCACTATTACTTTTCAAAGTTGATTTCTAAATTAATTCTTGTGTTCTGCCACTGACTCTTGGTGCTACTATTTTTCAAATCCACTTTTGGGCCAAAATGACAGTATATAGTTGGCTATCTTCAAGTAAAATTCGTTAATTTGTGCTAGAATACAAATTTTTGAACCAGATTATGTTTACAGTACGATTTATAACTACCGTCCGGCATCATTTCAATTTACTAAGCCCGGCTCTTGGATCAGAAAAGTGAATGAAAATGAAGAACTGAAGGCCCGTTGTTGATGGAAAATTTAAACTGCTATCTTAAAACAGCATTTTTCATTAAAGCAATTTGTCCATAAATTATGGACTTTTCTTGATGGAGTCATTTGAAATGAAAGCAAAAATAAAAATATTGCATGTTGACATGAAGCACCTTATGAACTTCCTGGACACCTGACGACACTGGCGAATGCTATGCATTTGCATTTCCTGATTTAAATAACATCGCTGTATATCGTTCCGAGCTATATTTCTTAAACAGTCGTCAACGTTCGCTATTATAATTTCCATCAACGGTTTTCCATATCGAAGAAATCAATGTTTGGTTTGTGTGTTCCTCATCATTTTCGTGCGATTGTGACTGCAGCGACCTATATTGCAAGCTGCTCCGCAATGAGCCATTATTTGAGCCACATTTAATGACAAACGGAAAATAAAGGGTTTCCATGTTTATCGCTATAGAAAGATCACCAGATAAATGGTATTGTCAACATTGTAGTTGAGACTATCTCAAAACTTTGTTAGGCGTAGGAGGTAGACGGTCTCTGAGTGTTGAACGCGGAGGTATTGCATGCACACGTGTTCCCTCGGTAGAGTCCATGTGGCATGCCCCCTTTCGCGTATAGCCCCACGGTACCCATGAGTGTTATTCAAGTATAAAAAGGCACTATTTTAAATAATAGCGTCCAAAGTCAAATTAAAAGTTAAAGTTCCAAATAGTCTCAAACAAGGATAATAAAACGTAGAATATTTGGAAATTGGAGAATAATTAGAACAGTATTCTTTGCTATATCAAGGCCAAACTGTTTTGTCTTATATTATTTCTTCACAAATCAAACAGCATGGTTGCGTTTCGACGTCGAAGTACTATTTCTCGCATTTCAGATCCATAAACAATGCACATGCAGCAGTCGAAGATTGCCTAACAATTACTCGGTGTGTTACGACAATCACAGGACTTTTGGCGTTCTCGGGACGATAGGCTAGGGTGGCGTGTCTGGTACATTAAAACACGACAAACTGTAACCTCATGATCGCTTGTCGCTTTGGAGGGAGAATGCATTTTAAACATATGTGGTACGATTCGGCCACAGAAATGTGGGGGACTAAAAAATGTTCCATTGAAGCCCTATCTTGAGCACGGATCATAGCCACAAATTGAATGATACCATCTACTCTCGTACTGGAAAATCTATTTTTGCAGTAGATAAGATAAGAGCTGTTAAAGGTAGTCACGTGTAATACCGATTGTCGTCTCATCTTATTGGCTGATATTTCAACGAATTATATGCTTTTGCGATTGAATACGGGATACCTGGAGAATTTATCTTGTTTACATTCATACCAATAGATACGACTGCCAAACAATGCATTGTAGGATTACTCTGGATGCACTAGTATCAAAGATATACTATTTGATTTTTAATAAAAGTCAAACTAATAATGTTTGCATTTTAATTAACATAATGCAATGCGATCTAGGTAGTCTTGAAAATCATTCAGACCTGGGTTAAAAACCTATTCTGACTATGTATACAAATTATTAATATTGTAAAAAAGAAAATTTTCATTTTAGAATTTGATGGATATTTTTGAGAACTCTGCACATAATAAGATTAATTAGAATTCTAAGGCAAAATGATATATCATATTAAAACACTTTCACTAAAGTGCTACGAATTACGCCATAGCCAAAACTAATTATAAGTTACTAAGACTGACGATCAGGCTGTAATTTAAGTTAATTCAATTCAACGGAACAATAAAATTAAGGTAGTAATTGTTTTAACGAAAAAAAAAAGTCAGCACGAATCAAAATGAAATATATGTATACAAGGTGTTTCTGAAAAACGTAACAGTGTCTAGGGTGGCAAGTACATCCAATAAAATGGTCCATTACCAAGATGGAGGATGTGGTAAATTGAGACTAAATACAAATATTACTCTCCTAAAACACTACATACAATTTTCAACGTCAGATTTCATCAACTTCAGCGTATTTTCATACTTGCAGTGGTTCACGTTTCTTAAACATTCAACATTTCCTCTTACAGAAGTGAGTCAGACAAAAGTTTCCCAAGAGGGGCGATCCATATGAAACTGAATACCTTCTCCAAAGATATAATTTAAATCCTTCATGATAGTCGCAGAAAATAAGTTTCTTTGTTTCTTCTGTAGAGGTCAAAATTCCCCAATTTCTGCATTGTTGTATGCATTTGGGCTATCATGTCAGTACTACATGTACAAATTTTTTAATATTGTTAATCTGTGAACTAGCTACCACTGTATAGGAAAATCTGATTAACGTACCTTTCTTTGGTATCAGAGACTTGAGCAGCAAAATAGCGTTCTCGTCACACGCCCAAGCGTGCATCTTCCTATAGCTGTCCCTGCCCTTTTCAGTCAGTTTGTCCCACGGTTTGGGCTTAGACAGCAGCTCGGACACGGTCCCTTGGGAGAGCCCCAGGATGTACTTGGCGAACAGACGTTGACCAATGTTGTGAATTGAAAGCAGTTCGCGAACTCTACGAGATATGTGAAGAGTATCTGAAAAGGAAAATATGAACTACACGTCTTTATGACCCTCTTCAAAATGCTTGACAGTCAACAACCAAAGTGGAAGAGAGTAAACAAACAATGGTTAACGCAGCGTGTTTAGAGCACGATGGACATGAGAAGAGAATGCGATACTCTCTTACATTTTAGTAGTTGATTATAGTAAGATGTCATAGAGGTCATACAAAGTATGGCAAAACGAATGAAGCAGTTTCAAGTGGTTATAGTAAACCAAACTGCATGTATGGTTAGATAGTTTATACCATTTTCCGGAGAATAGCGTTTACTTCTTTAACAATCCGCTATCTTAGCCTAAGCTACTAATCACAGATGATCAAATCTGGTAGTCGGATAGGCCTTTCAATGAGACGAGTCATTCTGGGAACATTTCTGTTAAAACATTCTTCGAATGTTCGGCTATATGAGCCGTAGCTCCATTTAATTCCAACCCAAATTGAAAGAGTTAGGGGATGGAGCTACAGCTCTTTGAAAGGTGATGTGCAGTAGCCTCCGCGATTACCAGATCTGAATATCTGCGACTTCTCTCTCTGAGGATATCTAAAGAAAAATGCACTTTGGCATGCTCCCCACACCCTGTCAGATCTAAGAGAACGGATTGTTGAAGAAGGAACGCTGTTCGTCTCGAAAGGGTGTTACTGCTAGCGGCCGCCATCTTGGAGACTTGATAAATGTGAAATGGTATAAACACTTGAAACTGCTCAATTGACTGACTGCTCAACCCTGTATTAAAAATGTTACTTTGGTATCAGACCTCAAATTAGTGTAATTATAGATAATGCAACTTACCTAAATTTTGAGAAGCGTATTTATCCATGTTGTACCTCAACATTTCCTGCAGTCTAGCTTCCATGGGATCTCCTTTGGGAATCAGGCTTTCGCCTAATCTACCCACCATTGAACCTGGAGCCATACCTAGTTCTTCGGCAAACTTGAAAGGAGATCTGTGGTCGTCGAACCTGAAAAGAATGGAGAAGGTGCTCTAAATAAGAGATTCTATACATAATGCTCTTATAGTTGGCAATAAGCACAGCCAGCATAGGATTTTGTGAAAATATGCAGCGCACATCATTTTGCGACCTAGGTTAATAACTCGGATTAAAAAAAACTCAAATGGTACATCATTCATATAGCAATAACGAACGTTTGTATATATTATTTATATATTAGTTTACGATGAATCTATTCAAAATGTTTCTAATGCTTGGCGTATGTATTTAGCTCGTTTTTCCTGACTATTTCTATCCCGCACCGTGTCAGATTTGTTTTATCACCTACAAAGACCGTTCCTAAGAACGTCGAGTGGAAATTAAAAGACATAGAGAGCCCTGCATATTGAAAATTGAGAAGGCTAACAGATCTGTGTCCGAATCGAACAACTTCGACATGTTTCAGGGCGAAACAGTACTATTTGCTTGAATTTTTTTGTGGACGGTATTTAACCGTATATTCACCTTCAAACGTAGTTGTATGAGAAAAACAAAGCTCCTATTTTTAGAATACTCTTAGCAGTAATGTAATGCCAATGTAAAAACTTTGCTCGTAGTATAGACAGTTAGTTCATTTTTCTTACCTGTACGGGCTCTTGAGTGAATCCTCACTCCTCAAAAAGTTGTTGACGGCGCACATGGTCGCTGCCGCAGCTAGAGGAATGTTGTTGTTGCTGTGATGATGGTTGTTATTGTCCTCCTTTGAGATCGGGCTGTTGCCATTGACCATAAGCTCGGTGGTTGGAGGGGCAATAATAGGGAGAGGGGAGGGTTGATCTTGAGGTTGAGGCGTGGAGGCGGCGCTCTGGTCAGTGGGAGGAGGTGGTGGTACCACCTCGGAGGCGGAGCTTACCACAAGGGTATTCACTAATGTGGGCGTGACACACTTCGATGGAGGCGGGATGTCTGAAACAAAGGAGAATACTTTGAGAAAGGACAAATAGTCCTAGAAAATATGAAGGCTTTGAATCTATCACTTAGTTATAACATCTCAGGCAGCATCGTATATATCAATAGACCAATATTTGAAAAGCAGAAATGGTAACATAATCTCTGAAACAATATTACCATATGTCCTAAAAGTTGAGATTTTACACTGTGTGTAGTTATAGTAAAAATAAGTAAATTTTCCTAGAAAATCATACACCAAAGGCTAATAATAATACAGATATTAGGTTCCAAAAAAATTCTGCGATGTCTAGTAAGGTTTTGGCTCGAGTACCGAACTGGGTGCACAGTTGTCACACGCATCAGTATCCAACTCAAGCGCTATGTGTCGTGTAGGTACTTCGCGAGTACATTCAGATCATTTTCCTGAAGGTTTGCATCCCGCGCAGCGTGGGTTTGTTCATCTTGTACAAAGAACTAGGGACACATGCTATTTGCAGGATCGTCGAGGTGGGTTCAATAGAAGAGCTAGATGAGCCCGAATTTGTAAATTGAAGGTGAAGTTAACACATTTGAATATCGGATGAAAAAGTAACAACTTCACACAGTATTTATAAGTTAAGTGGCAGGGCGAAACTAATTTCTCACAGTGCGTGCATACCTTCATTTTTTCTTTTTTGGTACTGTATCATTATACAGGATGTTTGGTGCAACGGTTGCCAAATTTAAATGGCGGACAGGTCCCTCAAACAGTTTTTAGCCCAACGGCATTAAATATGTAGATTTTTTAATCTTTTTTTAGTAAAAACTCCAAAATGTAATACACAAAGTGTGGGTGATGTACCAATCTCACAAAATCAACATTACTTGCCAGCAGCATGTAGCTTTATTTATAAACTCACAAAGGGTTTCAAAGAAGAACAAAAAAATGAAAGTCTCAATTTTGAATTTCTAAAAAAAAAACTAGAAGCGTTCACGTTCTTAGAATTCTTTTAAAAACTACTCTAGTTTATCCCGCCTGTTCTATTCTTCGGATGAACCCCTCCCTTATTCCAACTTCTGTCGCGTAGACGAGTGCTTTTGCACGTCCCCAGATGTAAAAATCCTGGGTCGTGCAGGCCATGGAATAGGACCATCACAATTTGGCAAACGATGCACCAAACACCCTGTATATTAGCTTTGTTATTTCAAATGTAGATGTTTCCGAAGCGAAAGTCTCAACTTTCAAAACACTCAATTCTATTTCAATTTATTATATATGAAGATCAACTTGAAATTTTTTTAGGTTCAAATGATTATAATAATGTTACTCTAATCCGCATACTATATTTGAAAAACCTTGCTATTGGCGAACCAGCTGATTTTTAATATTAGAGCTTCTGTGACACATATAGCCTTATTGCGTTTGTTACGATTTTGAACATCAGAGAGAAACGGAAAATAAAACAAAAGCGATAGAATAAAAACGTAGACGGACCTGAGGAAGCGGAAGAAGGTGACTTTCTAGTGAGATCGACGCTTCGCCGCCACGTGGATACGATTTCTTCACCCAATAAGCTGCCGAAAGCATCGACGTTTTGGAAGGGAGGGGGCAAGTTAGTGGGAGGGGTAGGTGCATGTGAAGGAAGAGGTTGAATGCAAGGGGTGGAGAGATGTTGATGTTGGAGATGCTGCTGGTGGTCAACACCTGCTGCAACAGATAACAGACATACAGATAGAGACAGGTGGGAGATAATGAGAGAGAAGAAAAATGGGTGGTGGAAATGATTGCAAGATGATCAAATCACTTTAAAAAAATAAAAATCGAAATATGATGGACTGATAATGCTAATATTCTACCATACTCATAGATTGCCAGAGGCATCCATGGTCAGGTCTTAACCTAGTCGTAGGAACCAACTAACGTTGATATTGATACATTCTAACGTGAATTTATGTTGCCCGTTGTATTAATGCTCTACCATTACCAGTAAATTTGTTGAAATTCAGTAGCGCATCGGAACTGTTTATACAAAATGCATGATTGACACTTATTTAATTTTTAGCTGCCTAATCAGACCAAAAAAAGGCTTGTGCGACGTTAAGATCGAGAAGTGTGCGCCTCTAAAAAAAACGTTTCAGTTTTTCGTGATGATGTTAATGAATGCATCCATGAACTGTTGCAAGGTTTTGAGTGCACTCAACTCAACCGAAAAAGCGTTATTATGAAGTGTAACTGGAGAAAGTAAATCTTCGAGGCCATAAAAGTTCAGAGTGGCCAATTATTACGAATTTATTGGTATATTTCAGCTGTTAATATGCATATAAAGTGTCTTTCAACTTAGATATCTATAAAATTGCCATAATTCTCTAGCGAAAATTATTCCGAAGACAAGGCGGATTTAAAATAGAATTTTAATGACTGTCTTGCAAAAATATCTATTGTTTTCATTCAAACTGACAGTCGGAGGGCCTTCTTGAGACGTTTTATGGAGTTGCTTTGACTTTATCGCACTTATATTTAGTAATGATGTTGCCACGAGGAAAATATTTTTGTAACTAATCTTTCATCTCCAGACAGTATTATGCAATAAAATGCATTTTTTAAATTCCTCTCGAGATCTGGAACAAGTAAACACAGATTTGAACTCGAAAGAATGTAAGCACTAAGTCACAGGGAGAAATGAAATTCTTAATATGGTTTTATACATGTATGGCTGATGCGTTGACGCTCTATATCAAAAAAGTAGATAATACTCTTTTCAAACTTTAAAATTCTATTACTTTTTGCTATATGCAAAAACGTCACTCAATTCCATATGATGTCGGTCTGTCTGTCGTGTACTTTCCTTGGACGACTCATAACATAAGAGGGTCAAGACGGTTATTCTCAATGTTTTAATTATTATTGTTTGGAAGAACAAGTAACTAGCAGACTGAAATGTTTCATAATATAAAATTCACACAAAAAACTGACTCTCTGTCATCTGGTGTCTAGATATATATATATATATCAATATAATAGTAGGAAGTACTGAATCGATGTTCTTGACTCCATCTTTTATTATTCAAAAGGTTAGAAAAACTGACGAGTCGAACTCTGCGGTATTTGTTACGACTTTTTGATGTTACTTTCGATCCCGTCCCTTTGTTATGTAGAAAATACATGTGCATCTATTTGGATCCTATACTTGACTAGGACAGATCAACATATAGCGATCTTTTAGATGTATTGTTTCTTCAGATTGCGTGTCGCACTTTTCATTATAAACTCGTTTCACTTCATTTCTATTGAAGTTGGTCAATTGCGCCTATCAGAATTTTGTTTAAACCCATTATATTTTAATAGCTGCATTTATTGCTCCAGGGAACTTATTTATCATTACCGTGAAGAATTTTATGAAACACTCCGTGTTTTTTATTGTTTTAGCTAACAATCCGGTCTAGAAAAATTTCGTCAATGTGTGGGAACTACGATTTTTTACGAAACCTGAACTGGTTTTATTTTACAATGAACATTAAGTTTCTAACTGGATTTGACACTAAAAACTATTGCGACAAATCACTACCATCTATTTTTACTGATTGTGTAATTTTGTTATATTGTTCAACTAATAATTATAAATGTTTTCTTTCAGGAAAGGCAAATTATATTATTCATTGCTATGTCAATTTAAAAAAGGTCATTTTGCATGTCAATATTTATGTGCTTTTGTATAGATCATACATAAACACTTTATATATGTACATTACAATCAAAGTTAGAAATTCGATCGAATCGAAGAGCGGCTAGACAAATCGCGAAATTACCGACGATGTTGATCGAAGTTTAAAATATCTGAAGTTTTTACTTTAGACTGCGTCTCTCTCGGAAAAGGCTATGAGAGACTGCTTTGATCCTTTGTTTAAGGCAAATATAACATCAAGCTCAGATGTAACTTCTGAATCTCATTCTGTTGTCCAGCACATTATTTGACTAAAGAAAACCTAATCTGCAATTTATCATCTGTTTCAGGATCATCCGAAGCTGTTCGATAAACAGGATTATTATTTCATAAATAAACAAAAAAAGTTATGTGTACTGCTCATAATTTACTAGCCAATCCGATAGTTTTTTTTTTGACAAGGACTCATATCCAGCCTTCTGTTGTGGAATTGTAATTTGAAAAGTCATGTTACCAATCCAAATAATGAACGCAAAAATTACACATTGTATATTTAACAGCCTTTACCGTCGGCCATCTTACCCGAAAATTAAAACGGCGATCGTTGGCGGTATCTGACTGATTTTGAATCATTACTTCCTTCTGTTCACGCTCGGAAAAGTCCGTATAATTAAAAATAAACGTATTAATTATGGGGCTATAAGCATGAGTTATGATGTGCTGTGAGCGATTATGGTTTTTTTGGGAAGATATTTCGATGTATGCCGCTACACAATGAGAGATTTTTATCACTCTTCAGAGAGCGCATTGTTTGTTATTAGCGTTTCTTTTCGATCTCGAATTGTCTATCCAAGAAATTAAGCCGAGATTTATTGTTAATTATTAGGCATGTGTTCCTTTTTTTATCTGAAATGTACATCTCAATGAGGGTAATTTGTATGCAAGAAAATACCTGAATTTGCAATAGCGGGTATTTCTGAAAGAATCCTCATCACCATATCTTCCCATGATATGTAGACCACTTTTTCTAAACGTATGTTTTTCGGGATGGCCAGTGAAAACAGAGAGAGACTGATATAGGCGAATCCTCTGCAGGCCCAGCTTGCAATGACATCTATCTACCCCAAGAAACCCATGGCGCAAATGCAGTTTATGTCAACGTTCGTTGACACAGAAGTACCTTAAACTAGCATGTAGCCTACAGCAAATATGTTCAAGATACGTTTTCTTGTTGACAATATCGAAGTGTATTCTTGACGGCACTACTATGGAGACATCATGGAAATCAAGTCTACTTGTGAAACTTGATTTTTATTTTCAGTATCCTTTATCCTGAAATTACCGTTGAGCACTGCCTCTACGTGGCAGCTTTTCTGATCAAATTAGTAAATATATCGAGTATCTGGAAAACATACCTTCATTATCTGTCGTGGGTGATTTTTCCCTATTGTCTTGAGGGAGATTTTTTGATTTCTCTAGCAGTGCGTCGATGTTCTTGCCTTCAGGATCCCTCAATATACTGTAACAATAAGAAAAGATATTTAGCTTTTCTAAAAAACAGATTTTATAATATTTAATTTATCTGCAGTGAGTTTGCTTCGTTTTTACATATTGAATATTATGATAGATCAGGTGTTGGATATTGTGAGCGAAACAAGAACAGCAGCATGATAATGAAATACAAGAAATGTAATTTAGATTTTAGTTCCGATTAACGTAAAGTTACAAAATTTTAATTTCGATTGCTTGTTCTGTTTATTTTCATAAGTGGTAATTAGGTACCAGGTAGTAATGGAAATATCTACAGCATTGTTTTTTATATACACGAAATGAAATTATTACGATGAACAATTATTTTTATTCAAACCTTCGAAGACTCAACATATTCAAGCGTTAAGATATAAAAATTTGCCAATGTCTTTGGTCATGATATACACGTAAGTTTAGCAATAATTCCTATTGTTACAACAAATAATGCAATAAATCATAATACAGCATAAATAAAAGATAAGGCACTTCTGTTTAATTTAATGCTAAAGGTAATAAATGCCTGTGATAGCACGCAACCAAAGCTATATGATCTCAGATATAGCCAGATTGCGTTCATTGTCAGTTGGTCGATTCTCACGATCTGAGGAGAAAAAAATTACGATTAACTCAGTCGATCGATCAATCATGGCAATGATGGAAAATCACCATGTACAATGGGGTGGATGATTACCTTTCAGAAAATGCATTTTCTCGGGATATTCGTAGAATAGTTGCTGAAACTTTTACCAAAACTTCGCTCTAAATAAAGATTTACATGTTTTACGTCAGTCGCATCCAGAAATTAGTACAGTATCTTCAATCTACTAATACATTAAATGTTGCAAATAATCATAAAATAGTAGGCATATGAAACACAACAATAAATGTCTTTGCCCGATACACCTTATCATGCTAAGGTCCAACACCCTATCACGTAACTGCAAAACGATAAGGGTGGCGATTGTCAGACGCAATCTGAGCAAGCATGTGCTGTCGGGCTAGTGTGTTGTGACGATATCGCCCGACAAGCACAGAATGTGAGATCGCCAATAAAATTGCTTATTATTCGATTCAATATGATCCTTCTATATGATATGGACAATTATAATACATACATTCAATAATAATATGTTAAATTACTGACCTAACTTCCCGTTTGAGATCATCGTAGTCCTTCTGTTGGTCCAGCCTGCTTTCCAGTCGAATGATGTGTTGTCTCTTCTGCTCCAGTTGATCTTCTAGTTGAGTTATCCTTGTCATAGAAGACTCCTGGATCTTGGAGATGCAACCTTGTAACCTTTGAACTTCTTCTACTAGCTGATTGATCTGTAACAAGGATTGTCGGTCTTAGCTAACGAAGAAGAACAGTTACCAGTTTCTCGGATTTTTGAATTATTCGATGTGGCATTGGGCTCTGGAGGTACTGAATTGAGATTTGGAGCTCAACAGTCAGGAAGTTGTTGCCAACTTTCTGTACATTCAGTGATGCTTTTACCGCTCTGAAGGATACGATATACTGTTCATCCGTAAAACTCTAGTTTGGATTTGTTGAAATGATGTGGACCTAAATTTGGACCTTGCGGAATATTCGCGTTGATGCAACGGTGAAGGTAGGTCACGGAACTGAAACATGCCAAGTTACGACTTTGAGGGAAGTCTCATGAACTTAGTTTCGCAGTAATAAATCTATGTATGTATGTAATAGAGCAATCTATATTCGAGTTGTAATATCAATTTATTCAGAACTCACGTTCACCCCTGATAGTTAAACCAAGAAACTCCCCACGATTTAATCGAGTGAAAGGGTTCGTATATTCCCTATAGCCTTCGAAATTAATCAATGCATCTGTATATTTCACTTTATACAGGGTGCTACCTTCTTCAGCCGAATACTAACTTCTCCAAGCTTAAACTTTCGGGTGTAAAGACGGTTCGTTTTGGTGGTAGGCATTCAGTATAATTAGGCCCATATTATCACTACAGAAGCGACCGTTTTTTTTTTCAAGAAATGTCATGTCATCTGTATAGGTGCACGAAATGTTGTTTTCTACAGCATCACTTCTATGAATAAGTCTGATATTTCTTAAGCTTTGGTATTTTAGTGGGCATATTGAAAATTTCAACACGTTATATTTTTTTGTTAAGTAGCTCTTACCAAAGTTTAGTGCAATCTATCAAAGTAGCAGATTATGTTCACTATCTGTTAAGGTTGTTCTACCAAACAAGAATTCTACCACCAGTTCTTCAATTCATGTTGCATGATGATCTCTGGTGAAACCCATTTACCTTATCTCATCTTTAACTCGTAGGCTAAGATGAATGGTCCACTAAAATATAGGTGCTCCAACTATCGCTGAGATAGACGTGTAAACGTATTGATGAGATTGGATTAACTACGTTTATACAAACTGGTTTGGCATAGAGCTTTTAAAAAACTACAAGTATAAACCACTTTGAGGTGTACGAGTGAATGTAGTTTTTTGTTTTTTCGTCCTTAAACTGCCAGTTAAAGGGCTATTAATATTTATTGATGAAAGTGAGATCACCCTGTATCCGTAGTGAGTTGGGATTAATATCCAGCGTCTTCATTCAGCGTCGAGCAATTGATTGATTCTGATGCTACGTCATCACTAATTTCAGCCTGTCCTGAAGGAACGGGAGGAAAGTTTCCTAAGGAAATTATATCGAGATTTGAAAGGGAAACCTATCGATTATGTTAACGTATCTATACAACGCACACCGCGATGGTTGGAAAGGGTTGGGCTGTTAATGGATTCTTCCTTATAGATTGGATTGGACTGGATTTGGATGGTGAGGGGATATTTATTGAATTTGTCTTCATCTTCCATATCTTGAATTATTAAGGCCTGTTTAGATTTTGTCAGTGAGATATTGAGAAATACTATTCAAGTTGAAGTGATACTTCGTCCAAAAAAAGAAAGATGAAAGCATACATTTCAGGGTTGACCTTCGATCTCGTTATAATACTTCATATTTAAACTGGTAACAGGAAATTGACTCAGTATTTTCGATGCATTGAAATTTAAAATTTCAGAAACTCAAAAATATTTAAACGTCATTGTTGATAAGTTAAACATGAGAATTGCCCGATTTTAAAACTTGGCCTTCAAAAAATCTCTGCCTACTCCCAAAAGTTATCATAAACTTGGAAATCATTGCTTTTTTGCTCATCACTCCAGTTTCATTGTACCAATTACCAAATTGCTCTATTTTTTGCCCTAGACATAGCAGGCACCTCAATCTAAAACCGCCAAAATTCGAACGGTGCTTTTTGTGTTCAAAGATTCCCGGATTGATGACGATAAACAGACAGGCAGACAGACCGCAGAATGGTTTTTTCTCTTCATATCTACAATCCTTCAGTAGGAAGCAAAAATCGAGTAAAGTATATTGCCTTTTAGGGCTTTATTCCAATTCTCGTCAATTACATATGGAAATTCTGTGGCTCATTGAAACTGCAGCAAAATGACTTGTACGTGAAAAACTGAAAATAATGGTTTTTAGCTACTCTAAGGGAATAAAAATTATAAGTGTTATTATAAACTTCATTATTCAATAAAGCGGCGTAAAAAAAGGTATGCAATGTTTCGTCGTTGACCTTAGCAAAATATATTCAAAGCACCAAAAACTCAAAGTAAATACAAACACGATGGGCGAAGGGCGAATCAGTCCCGATATTTAAAAGATAGGAACACCCTTAAACATCGTCGAGGAAGCAAATACGTTAGTACCGTTGGTCTTCCCACAGGGGTTTAATTATTGGCCAGAAGCCCAGATGCTTGAATAAATATCGCCTGTATCATTCATTCCAACAAATGTAAGTACGTATCCGATCCCTTCCTACCAAACCCCTACCCCTATACATATATAACCTCAAAGATTATTTTCGGTCGGCGGAGTAAAGCTGGGCAAAAACCTCCCGGTTTTCAAGCTGGGGTAAGGTATCGCCTTGAGTTATCGTCCCGAATATATCACCGAGGGAAATTCCCGTCTGTTCGATTTTATTTTTTACTTTTAATAGCCCCGCATTATAAAACTAAGGGATTTCTCGGGTGCCCGCGCCCTGCTGGTGCCAGAAAAACAGCCTTGAAATATGTCTTATACCAGGCGACACCAGTCGGATGTCATTTTTTGCTTCCTTGCTCTTGTGGACTTGTTTCGAGATAGAAAACGGTAACGTAGATCAAAGCTTCTTTTCACAAAAAGAGTCAACTTTGGTGTTGGTCTGGGTGACGGTATTATTGGTGGAAATGCTCAAGCATAATTAGCTCCGGTCTAGAAACACTAATAAAACGGAAATGATAACGAAACCAGGCATTCTTGCTAAGTAAAAAGTCGCATTTCTGGCAGTTGTGTCGGACAAAATTGCGTTAGGTACCGACCGCTCTGTTCATTTTCCTGATATTTGCCTAAATCAGACGTTACTGTAACATGTGAAACTGATGCTTTGTCGCTGATGCGAATTGACAGAAACGTTAGTGAAGATGTATTGCAATGCGTATTTCGTTATACCCGCTTTACAGTTAGAAAGATGCAAGAAAAGTCAAGACGCATGCGCAGTTACACAAAACGTTGTAAAACAGGAAGGTTTTTGAAACTTAGGTATGTGGTTTGATTCCGCTTGACAAATATTCCGGATTATTTTACATACAGATTTGTTAAAATAAATGCTTTTGCTGTTTTATCGTTTTGCATTCTTTTTTGTGTGATAATTTCCTACACTGCTAAGCAGTCATATAGAAAATAAAGTTGTATCTGAATGTGATTGCTGATTTATAAAAGGAAAAATGCGCTTGCGCTATTGTAGAAGGATCGCATTTAGCTGCTTGTCCGCCAACAATGGACTTCTTTCTACTAATAACTCCTAGTTCTTTTCTCACGGCCCAACACATTACTTTATGAGACAAACTGCTCGCAACTCGGTCTAGCAAGACGTGAATCTAATATCTGTCATATTACATGCAATGGTTGACAGCTTAACTGTACTATCATAATTTTTAATGTCTAGTTAGAGTAATGAAATTTCAAAATCGGCACATAATGCCAATACATTGACGCATCGGAATTTTAACCCGCTTGTTAAAAATATCCCGGAGCAAATCGAATATTTCCCGCATGATCGGCGAAAGAGTAAAAAACGCGCGAATAACGCGACAGAGCCCCGAGTTATTTCAATAACTTTTTCCAATAAAACCACGCTTTCGTTTCCCGCACGGCCACGATGCGCCATAAAACTAAAATCCGAACGGGCCAATAATAATTGCCGGCATCGAGGGCGCCATCAAAGCAGCTGTTTTATGCAGAAAACTTGGGCACCAAAACCGAATAATTGATAGGGACACGTTCGAACATCAAATGGATGATATTCGATTGTTTTTATCGGGATTTTACCGTAGTCCAGCATATAAAATTATAATTGTGCTAAAGTGGTACTTGTGTTTGGTTATAATAGGTGGTAATCTGGAAGTTGATCGCGCTAGTATTGTTGTAGATCAAGTCCAAGGTTATAAAGACCTGTCTATCAGATCTGTGTTTCTCTCATATGGACTTTTAACCTCTGCCATTGGTAGATAAGCTTGAAGACTTTATACTTACAAAGTAAGTGCAAGTTTTTGAGAAAGATGAAAAATCCATAAGCTAGATATTTGTTCATCTTACTTCAACTTTAGTCTAGAAAAATTTATATAATTATGTTTGCAAGACTCGTATTGACCCCCAAAGGTCTTAGAAAACTACCTCAACATTTAAAGCAAGTCTAACGTTACGATTTTGTAATATTTGGCTCTGAAGTTTAGTCCATAGTTTCCATCTTGTTAACGTCTTACATATTATCACACTTTATAAAGGAAAACAATTGAAGAACCGTTAAAAAGTAATCGTGGCTCCCATCTGGGAGCCTGGCTACCTTCCGAAAATTGAATATAGTTTTGTGCACCACATTATTTAAGTTTCTTAAATTCCGAAATATTTGAATGCAAACATTTTACAGATGCGTTCAATTTTCAGTTTCAGTTACTTTCAATGCCGAAAAACTTCTTTTCTTTTTGCCATTGTCTACTCCATACATAATTGTATTAAATTAGAAGATTAAAGGTTAAACTTTGCCCATTTGTAATGTATCATTATGAATAAGGCCGTTCAATAACAATATCAATGAATATTTTTGTGTATACACATTGAAAACTTGTCAGTATGACCACTCCATCGTTCGTAGTGTATCAAGTATGTAGAACAATCTACTGAAAACGGCTTTAACCAGTTCTACTGAGCTTAGTTGAAAACGAGCACAAACAGGTTCTTGTCCAATAGCGCATGGTACTTCGGTATTCAAGCGCCTCTGTTTTGGCTGCAGTCTACAGTCTTTTTGATCACTAAAATTTTTTCGCAGCAAGTTTAGAATTGAAAAAAGGCAAAGCAGATATTCACCCGAAAACCATTCCTAAACACAAACAGAAAAACAATAGCCTCTGCAACGAAACACGATGTATATCACCCCTTTCCCCATTTCATCCCCATCTCTTTCATCCCCAAAGTCGCTCGCCACAAGTCGAGAATTGTAACACACACACATACAGATAACACTCTGGATTTATTAGCATGTCCCTAACCAGACAAAAAAAATCGTCATTTTGCAATCGGTCAAGTTGAATACTCGCCCTTCGGCCTGTGAAGAAGGGCCACTGTTCGATTTGATCATCCCTGTGGGGTGAGTCAAAGGCGATTTTTTTCATAAGTCACCACTGTCACCGGGTCCTATCCCTCGCTTTTTTATTATTGTTTTTGAATGGACGGATCGGAGAGTGGATTTGGTTATCGGGATCTCTGTATATGGAGTTACGGATTTTAAGGGTCACTGAAGACCTAATTTATGGAAAATATAGGTATATATGAAGATTTGTTTGTAATAGGAAATATATTTAGAAAACAACTAAGAAATGACTGGTAGCTAGTTAATCAGTTTGAAGATTCTTCGATTGTTGTAATATAATATACTATGCCTTCTTTGTTATCCTCATGCTCCTACTTGCTTCTACATGCCTCAACATATGGGGTGAACATTAAGTGTAGGAGTTTTTGAATGTCCTTGCACTTCACGGATATTTATAAAATGTAGATTAACTTGCCAGTTTTTGAGGAGTCGAAACGTTATCTTGATACATCACTGAAGCTTAAACGAGTAGAACTGTCATCTTCTCATCATTTAAATTACGTATGAGTCTTGAAGTTTGCACTCAAAACTGAGAGAACATTACTTTTCTATCTGCATTATGTCAACGCTACTTATTTGTTTCTTGTAAACTTTACAGTGGATCATCTCATTGTTATAATCCCTCAAATAACTCTTCGCTAATAACCCTCAAAGATAATCCATATTTTTCCGAAGCATTATTACTTTATATTCCTTATTATATGAGTTTATTTTTTGTATACATCAAGATTAAGCACAATTAAGTCAGCATATGCTACCATAAGAAAATATCTAATCATACGTGACGCTTGCATATTATTTGGAATTTTTTCAAAATGTTTAGCACCGACAATAAAGTTGACACAACAAGTATTCAGCATCCGATGTGCCAAAATATTATCATTATTCCGGTCGGAATTTTTTTTATAAAAACTAGTTACCAGTAAATCTAATATTATATTCCGTGGACTATCAACCTCGTCCTATAGGAAGCTGCTTGACAGACAGTAGTAAAACCGTAAGGTGAAAATTTTTTACTTCCTAATCTGAACTGAAGCAAACTCAAACAAAAATATTTGTAAAAGGGTTTGGGTATCGCCTAACTGGGAGGATGTTTTGTGTTTGCATAGACTGTCTAAATATTTGACGTTGACATTCCACACGAAAAACTCACCCGGTCTTCGTCAGCCATGACAACACTACAGTCACTTGTTTCATAGTCAACAGTGATCACATAACTACATAACAGATCTTCTCCTCAGATACACGATATATTATGCTGATGAAATTATCCTTTAATTTATTATAGAGCAAACATACCGGTGATAAATACTCCGTCAGTATTATCATCAGATATCTTTCTGGAAAATAAAGAAAAAACTCCTGTAAATATTATAATAACCTGCTAAAGGTATTGTAAAATAAATCATTAAAAATCGAGAATAATAATCAAGAGAGATAAGAGACAGGCACAGATAAAGCAATATGGCGCCGATGATGGTGCTTAGATTAAACATGTTTGAGTAAATATTGTTTATGGTGTTTTACGACTATATGGGATGTCGCATTATAGTCAGAAGTCATTGGGCTCATTCGTAGAGTTTATCATATAAACTATGATGACTCAGCCAGATTGTGATGAAAAATGTAAATTGTCCGTTTCACTCTAGGCTCCTTTGATAAATGACTAAGGCAACGTTGTCATAGCTGTCCTACTGACCACATAATTTTGACAAAAAGCGGAGAGTGCCTATAAGCTACATTTTATATGAATTATATCTCTACCTATCAACGGAGAGAACAAAACCTCCAGCGTCAGTCGGCAACAGCGCGGCCGGCAACAGCGCGGCCTGCCATCGTCCACACTCAACCTGTGATCGTCAAGGGATACAGACGTCTTATTTTAGATATTACCCGCGGCTCAGTATGCTTGAAATATACAACATCGTTTTTAAGTAATGCTATGAACTTCCGATCAGTTTTTTGTATTTTTGATAGCATTAGTAAGTTGACAGCCAACTTTCATGCTTGTAAAATTTGGTTACTTTATTAGTGGCTCCAGCTTCATAGGTATTCCGCGGGTAACCGTGTGACAGACAGCCAGTTTAAGATAAGAAGGAGATGGATGCAGTTGGATTCCATGCATTAATATTGCGGTTTGTACTTACAAGTTCTGAAATTGACAAGTGATTTTCATGTTGCACCAAAAAGATGAAACACAACACGAAACAATATCCATAGTTTAGGTAGTGGCATGACGGGGCCCAACTATCTTATTTTTACTCAATAAATGTTCTTGACCTCAATGGTTCTTTCGGCTATGACATGTTGAATTAAGAATTACTGAATCATTTCTTCTTCATGCCTACAAGATGTAGGCATCTTGAACCCCGGAATGCAAGAAAGGAATAATAAGGATATATAGTCCTAGTATATATAGTTCTTTAACATATTCTCACATGGATTTTGCACACCCAAACAATAATGCGTGCTCTGGTATACCTCACACCTCGAATGGTCAGACGTCTGCGCCTCACCCTTACCAGCCCTTACCCTTTTCCCTGGAAAATGCATCAGGCGAACGAAAGCCGGACAGACGGACGTCAGACAGACGCAGGTAGATGATGAACCATTTTTCCTTTTTTACACGTTTCCCTGGCTCCCTGATTTATTCATCCCACTTCTGATTTAATTAGGCGCCTCTGTTGTGTCACTTTTCATCCGACGCCGTTGCAGGGAGTTATTAAAAATTCACCTGGACTTCTGGCGTTCCCCTCCACACACACACACACACACATACTCCCTCACTCTCCCCCTCATCCGCAAAATTCTATTTTTATATCCCTTCTTTATTTCCATCAGACCTTCTGCGTATATGGCGGCCTTGACAGCCTAACACCCACGCTGCACTTCAACTTCGCGTCCCGGACTGGACAATCTGCCAAGAGGATTGAGGGAGACGGGCATCAGGTGACTTAAAAGTAAAGGTTCCGTTGACCATCATTCTAATCAACACGTTGATGCATATGATAACAACATACAAGGGTGGCATCAAGTAGCGCCTCCCTCACAAAGGTGAGATAGCTCATAGCGACTACCATGAGCGCCTGTATAGAAAAATTAAGGGGCGGGTGGGAGATCTGAATTCTCCACTATATAAATAGCTTGTGTATGCACCTTCCAGCCATACCCTTGGTCTTATCAAAAAGACTGGGCAAGCTGATAGCGAAGATCGAGCCTGCACGTACAATAGTGACATGATCATCACATCTGAAGAACGCGACATACATGTCCAGAGCGAATCCATACATATAGTATAGAATATACGCTAAAACCTTACAATGATGTTGAATGCGACTATGAATTGACTGCAAGGTCTTAGCTTTAGCAGACTCGTGGAATTATTGAAGAGTCTTATATCTTAAATGGAAGTAGCTCTCTGAAAGGGACTTCACGTAGCATCATTGTAGTAAAGATGTATTCTCCCCACATATGTTTTTCAAACAACTTAATATGCATTTCTTTGTACTACATGACTAATTTTTAATTTTGTAAACCTGTACATCTAACACGTGTGCATCAAAGTACTTCAGCATTCCTCGCAATTATAAAGTTGGAATCTGACGATTCAATAAAGTGCGACGCTCCTCTATCTACGGGCAAGTTTATTGTTTTGGAGAAGCCATCATATTTATACATATTAACATCAGCCCACGCATCCTATGCGATGTAAAGTGTTCTGGCTAGCAAAAAACCGCCGGCCGCCGAGTAAAATGTGAAAATGGCTAAAGGACATTATAAAACGGAGAGTTGATGGGTCTATCTCTTCTTTCAAAGCCGACGATGTACATATTGCCATTAAATGTTTAACTGCAGACGCTTATGGGAAGTGCAGATCGTCAGATAGACAGCGACAGTGACGTAGATAAAGGGGATCAAGGGGATTGATACCCTTGTGTCCCTGGGAATCACGAGAGAGTTGAATGAACCAGATGAATGCTCTAAGACAATAAAGTTTGAGCAATGAAATCAAAAGGATCATTGAAGAATGTCTCAGTTTAACAAATTGCGGAAGCTGTGCGTTTAAAGTATGCCTAGCATTTAGGGCCGCATCGTCAGTCGTTCCTACAAATTACAGGACGCCTTTATGGCCTCCTTGATTGTCATAGTATTTTCTCACCTTCAGAAATTTCTAGATTTCACCTGTTCCGTGTAAGCGTCAGCGCTCTCCTATTGTGAAGTTATGTTTTCTTTTCGAATCGTAGGAAGTTTCAGACTAATAAAACAGATGGTATAAATCAAAAGCAACAACAGTTTGATGAAAATAGATATTTGTGACATAACCTCAGAATAGACAAAAAGTCGTTCGTCCGTCGTTCCTACAATTGTAGAACGCCTTTATGGCCTCCTTGCTTTTCATAGTCTCCTCTCCTTTAGAAAGTCTAGGGCATTTTTAGATTTCTACTATTCCGTGTCATGTTTTCTTCTTGAATTGTAGATTTTAGGCTATATATATTTGGGGCCTCGGTTGGCCGCGTTGGTCAGAGTGTCGTGCTACTGATCAGCCGGCCGGCCGGGCCGCGAGTTCGAATCTCGCCTTCGCCATGGATGTTGTGACGTCGTGTGTTTGTCCATAATTAGAGAAATATAAGTAACACACATCTGTGGCAAATGGATAACTTCCAATGTCAATTATATGTTAAAAAAAAAGGCTATATATATATAACATACAACAGAAGATGTAATTCAAAAGCATGAACAATTTAATGCAAATAAATATTCGTAACATAACCTCGAAATAGAGTGCTGACACGGCAGGGTAGAAAACTGTGACAATCAAGGAGGCCATAAAGGCGTCCTACAATATTGTAGGAACGACTGACGATACGGCCCTTATCGACCGTTTCAATTTTGACCTTTGGTTGGTAACAGTTAACTATCATGTCTATCATTTTCCGATGGTTTTTCAACCATTTGCTTAATTATTTATTCGTTCTTCGCTATAAAAAACTCAAGTAGAGTTTGGGTTATCATCCTAGACATATTCCCCATGGACGAGAGTGGAAAGCTAACATGTAAAATTTCAATTTTATAGTAATTTACAGCATTCTTGACCTCTAGGGAATACTCCAAACTAATGACATTTTAGGAGGTATTTAATCTTGGAAAATAATGATAATAATAATAGATAATGAAATATTAATTTATTTGGAACGAAGTTTAGCTACAAGCTATTCCACCAGTTATTCAAACTTGAAGACTATTAGATACTAGAATACACAATTTTAACAACACATTTTTCGAAAATTAAAATGAAAATTATAAATATGCTTGTATGATTATGAAATAAGCTTATTATGTGACTTATATGATATACAGAAATACGAGAATATATATTTTTATAGACTGACAGTTAGTTTATGTTTGAGCATTGAAGATAATTTCTTTTCTACTATTTTTGAAGTCATCGAAATCAAGATGCAGTTGATGGTAATTCATCATACATATTGACTGCATTATGGGTAAAACATATATCAAATACTAAAGATTTGTGAAAAGGCAGAGTTAAAGTGAAAGTGAATCGAATATTCCGTGAGTGGATGTACTCAATATTAACTTCTCATTCAAAAATGAAGGAAATGTGTGAAAATAGTGTAATAAATGAAATTTTTATAAATTTGCAATACTCAAATGTGCTTTGAAGTACATTTATATCCATTATTATGCAGCTACATTTTATGCCTTTAGACGAGTGCATTCGGAGCGAAAGTATCCCTATTTTCAAAGAATCTCAATCATAAAAATGCCTAGAGAGCGTAAAATACCTTTGTTCAATCGCATTTTTCAATTGATTTAACGACCACTCATAAATAACAAATTTATAAGGTCGTAAACGGTATCAATGTGATGGTAGCCTAACTAGCCTATTAAGTATAATATTTCATTGCGAATTACCACTTTCCAAGTTTTATATGGCCAAACGTTTTTATTAATAACAGTTAAATTTAATGCTCCGCTTTCGACTTCCTTTCAGATGGAATCTTAAGAGGATGTTTTGCGTAACACGTGAAATAAATGGCAAATTGATTTGCGATTACACATTACTGAACTGCTGTAAATTATTGATATTAATTTATATCGCAGCATGCGGAATGACTGCAAATGCGTGGAAACGTTCTAAATAATCGTATGTGATAAGCTGCAGCACTTGATATGGTGTTCAATAAGTACTAGGACAAACTCTAGTAGAAGGTAGGCTTTGCACTGACCTCTCAAATGACAAAAGCTTACCTTAAAAACTCTCTATTTTTGAAATATTGAATTTTTCTTAAATTAAAAAAAAACTAACCTTTTCATCTGTGGTCTTTAGCTGCATGTACAAATAAGGTTATATTTTGTTCAGTTTTTATGTAAAATACTTCTATATAGTTGCTTTATCAAATACAAATGCAATGTAGTTAAAAAATATTAAGGAACCATGATCAAATAAGGACTATTTTGGGATCTATGACCTTCTGATATTTTTTCCTGAACTTTGACCATCTGTGGTGAAAATGTACTGGGCTATAACTGCATTATATTGAATAAAAAGATTGCTCATTGAATACAGATTTCAGAAAGGCACCACACGTACTATTTGGAATAGAAAAAAGTGATAGCTGCTTTTGTAAGTGACTGACACACACAACAATGTAATTATTGGATTTAAATTCAAGTTGCACTGGTTACCGATCAGTGACATGCTAAATAGTACAAAGCTGCATATTATTATTACCTGCTCCTAATTTGATTTTATGAAAGTTGAGGAAACAATATCAGAAGGTTATAAATCCCAAAACAGTCCTTTTTTATCATGGTTCCACAATATCTTTTAACTAGATTGCGTTTGTATATGATAAAGCAACTATCTAGAAGTATAACCTTATTTGGTCATGCAGCTAAAGACCACAGATGAAAAGGTTGGTTTTTTTAAATTCAAGAAAAAATTCAATATCTCAAAGCCTACCTTCTCCTTAAGTTTGTCGTGATACTTATATGCGTACAGTTCAGAGCGAGCGACACTCTCATGTTAGAGAAAACAGCAGTGGGCTTGCCTATCAAAAATGGCGTCAAATGGTTTGACTCTGCACTTCCTATGCATTGCAGTCAGTTCAGAAAGGACTGAGTTCAGCACAAGTTGAACCCTCTGAGAGAAAACTAGTTACGAACATGTATAGTTGTACAATAAGGAAATTAAGTGGATCGATTCAGTCAAACAGTCCCTGATAATTAGTCTATAGACATTCTTTTCCTGCCCTGGTGGAAGTTTGCCGTCCATCTGCTAACGTTGCCCCTTCCCATATCGTACGGCAGCGCCCACAGTATGAGCAGAATAGTTAAGCAGAGCGTTACGCCGAGCGCTGAGCCCAGATAGCAGAAAGAGACGCGGATTTCAAACATTTTTGTATCACTTTACAGACTACTATGGCTAATAGGTGCTTGGAATTACCGAGCAGGAGCGTATAAATATACTAACATAAAAAATGAGAAAAATAAATATATAAATAATCAGGGTCTTGCGAAACATCAAACAAGAACTGCCTCAGGACATATGGCCACTTCGTGATACTAGAGAAAGACAGAAAAAGCCACTATACTAACCATCGTCGAAGCCATCTTGTTGAGTTGCAGCACAGTAAAATCCCTTAGAAATAATAGGCTGGATTTTTTCCTTTATTCTTAAGCATGACCACCTCGCAGGCAATAATGGCCACTCAGCCTCTTATATAATTGTTCCTAAGATGTCCTAATCTCAGAAGTTCTCAATGGCGGAAAAGGAAATCCCATAACCTGCGGCAACTTCCGTTAGGTGGCAACGCTGATGCCTAAAGACGGTGGTTAACAGGTATATAGTTGTATGCAAGATGGTTGTCAGCGGCACGTAACTATGTGAATGTTTATTGGGTATCTTCTGGTTGAAAATGTTAATCGATAAGTGCACATACGTTAGCTAACGCTACTGGAACTTCAAGAGCACTTTGATATTATGACCACAAATTTGTAGATTGATTAAAAGTTGTATGAGATAATTATGATTTCACTGAACCTTATTACTGTATCTTCTTGTGATTATTATTATACGTTATTATCATCGACTGATTTTTTTACAATTTTAAGAGTAATGACCTTTTCGAAATTCCGGAAGCAGAAGAACATTCCAGTTCGTTACATATCGTTGTTACAACAGTAACAACGATATTTCCATTCCATTAACCAAATGTTGCAATCCGTGTAGGATTCACAGAAATACATTAAATGTTAAAATCAGAGATAGAAAGAGATACACAG